AAAATGAAATTTTCAAAAGTGTTCGGGAACTTTCTTGACAACCTAATGGAATGGTCTTGAGCCATCGTATGCGAAGTTTGACATATGACGGCTATTAAATCTCACTGTACCCTCTCGAATGGCCAAGTTTACTTTGTTCTTCGTAAGTCTACAAAATTGAGCGAAAGCTGCTCTCGAGAATATTGAGAGCCTTCTCGCGTTGATCTTTTTTTTTCGATGAACACCGCTATGAATAGAAGAAAAGAGACTCAGGAAGGATTCTTGCCGCACAAAAAATATTTAGTATCTGCAGCTAGAACTGTGAGTATGAGTATAGGGTTACATAGCACTATAAAAATATATGAGAAAAGAATTTCGAAGTATGTGGGCCGATGTATGGGAGTGTCTATAGGAGGACCGCTCGTACGGTGCGGATTCCTGAGTTGTTAGATGTAAGTAGATTTTTTTTTGAACAAACATCTGCGCTTAAAAAGAATCATTTATTACTTGAACCCGTCAAAGATAAATACTGTCTTATGCATAGAATCATTTGTACATAATAATTATACACGTGAAAAAATAACGAAGTCAAAAAAGATAGACTGTGTAAGAAACAAGTGTGCAGCAACTTCATCAGAAATTTTTTGATGCCTATCACACTACGGTCCTGAAAGAAACCCTGATGAGGATGACTTTTTGCTATGACAACACTTACCATAATTTTATTCATCACGTCAAGAAGGACACGTCAATCTTCCTTTGTTGCGCCATTTCATTCAGCACCTGGATAGATGGATTCAATAACTATCAAAACGGTTATAGTGCTTACTTCATTTACTGAGCGCCTGCTCGTTTCTGGACAGTACCACATCATTACCGTAAAGATACCTGTGGGCACGAGGAACATGAGCAGTGATTGGGCGTAGATCTAAGATGAATAGCATTAGCTGCTTCTCTCTCCGAAGATTTATAGGAAACCGCTTACCACATTAGCTAGCGGATAGAATGCAAATTCAACTCCGATTTTTGTGAGCGCCTCGAACATAGTGAGAATCGAAACCGATGAGAGAAGGATATTTCTAGGAACCAGCTCGGCCGAGTAAAACCGAGACAAAGAACCTATTCCACAAGCACTTATGAGCAGAAGAGTGGTAAGCCCTATGAGAGTTGCTACCTATAACAATAATATAGACATTCTCCTTGAGAATGTCCAATCTGTAGAAATCTCACCTTTAAGCTAGGCCCTACATTGATACCAATCACCATAAGAATCAAAGAAAAGAAGCATACAGCAGTTGAGCCGATGAGCATTGGCCGTCTGCCAATACGATCTACTAGGAAGACGGGTATCAAAGTTGTGGGAAGTCGGAGTATCCCTAAAAATTTGAATTCATAATCCATCTTTACGAAGGCTGTTAGACCAGTACCTATAATGAGTGACTGCATCAAGGCAGCACTGTGGGACCAACCACCCATGGAGTATAGGACAAAAGTGCTGTAAGATCGAAGGCATCTCGCTCCCGTAAAGACATATGCAATCTGAAAATGGTTTCTAAAGATTTGTAGGTAGTAGGACTAGATGAATTGATATGACTTGCCTTGACCATCACTCCTAGCCATGCACCGTAGCGCACTACTTGGGATACTGGATCTCGAGCTTTCCATGGCATGAAAAGTATCGTGAGCGAATCGTATTCTGTCTCGACAGTGCCTA